TTTGGGGAGAATTGGGGGTTTTTGGGGCCCCCCCTGCCCCCCCCGCCATGTTTCTCGGGCAGTTTTAGGGTATTTTGGGGTCTCTCTTCGACCAGGTTTAAAAACTGCAGGTTTTGGGGGCAGATCCAGGGGTGTTTGGGCCTATTTTGGGGCAGATCTGGGAGTTTTTTGGGGCAGATTCAGGGTTATTTGACCCCGCTTTGGGGCAGATTCCGGGTGCTCCAGGGCGCATTCCGGGTGTTCCCGAGGTGCATTCTGGGTGTTCCCGGGCGCATTCCGGCTGTTCCGGCACTCACGAGGCGGGACAGCGCCAGCGGGGGGCGGTTGCTCCGGCTCATGAACAGGCGCTTGAGGACGACGCGGGCGAAGGCGGCGCGAGTGCGACGGGCCAGGAAGCGGTAGAGCTGCGGGCAACAGGCGGACGGGGTCACAACACCCCGCGATGGTCAACAACACCGCGCGGGTGTCAGCACCACCCCACGGGGTCACCAACACCACATGGGGGGGTAAAAACACCCAGAGGGGTCAGCAACACCCCGTGATGGTCAACAACACCCGACAGGGTCACCAACACCCTATGGGTGTCACCATCACCCCATGGGGTCACCAACACCACATGGAGGGTAGAAACACCCAGACGGGTCAGCAACACCCACATGGGGTCACCAACACCCCGTGGAGGGTAACAACACCCGACAGGGTCACCAACACCCTATGGATGTCAGCATCACCCCATGGGGTCACCAACACCCCGTGGAGGGTAACAACACCCGGATGGGTCAACAACACCCTATGGGTGTTGGCAACACCCACGACCCCCCCGACCAACGGAGCTTCCCAGCACCCATAGGTGCTCTATAGGTCCAATAGGCCCCATAGCTGCCCTATAGACCCCATAGCTGCCCCACGGCTGCCCCATAGAGGCCCTACCTTGACCAGCAGCCGCCGGGAGGCGGCCCGCGGCCGCCCCATAGCGCCCCATGGCTGCCCCACAGCGCCCCACAGCTGCCCCACAGTGCCCACATAGCTGCCCCACGGCCACCCCATAGCTGCCCCACAACCGCCCCATAGCGCCCCATTGGCTGCCCTATAGACCCCATAGCTGCCCCATAGCTGCCCTATAGCTGCCCCATAGAGGCCCCACCTTGACCAGCAGCCGCAGGTAGACGTCCTGGCTCCGGGGCTCCTTGCGCCGGACCTTGCGGTCCCGGTTGTGACGGATGTCGACTCCCTGTGGGGGGACATGGGGGGCAGCCCCACGGCGTGAGGAGGGGGGGAGAGGGGACATATAGACCCTGTAGACCCATATAGACCCTACAGACCCATAGCGAGACCCTATGGGCCCCATAGCACCTTCGGGCCCCATAGCAGGACCCTACGGGCCCCATAGTGGGACCCTATAGGGCCCACAACAAGACACCATGAGCCCCATAGCAACATCCAGCCCCACAGCAGGGCCCTATAGACTCCATAGGGGCCCCTGCCCCACAGCGGCTCCCTGTAGGGCCCCACAGCGGCCTCCAGCCCCATAGCGAGACCCTATAGATCCCAATAGGGCCCCACAGCAGCATCCGGCCCCATGGCACGACCCTATAGACCCCATAGCAGCTCCTAGCCCCACAGCAAGGGCCTATAGGGCCCTACAGTGACACCCTATGGACCCCATAGACCCCACAGGGGCCCCGGGAACACAGCGGCTCCCCATAGAGCCCCATAGCAGGGCCCTATAGGCCCCATAGGGCCCCAGAACGGCCCCCGGCCCCATAGCAGGGCCCTATAGACCCCCCA